AGCAATTTCAAAATAAAACAAGACGTGTCATCTTTTGTGAAAGGATGCGGTCCTATTTCAAGAGAATTTTGAGAGGGTGTCAAAAATATCACAGCTCATTTGAAATCAAGCTGCAGATTTGCATTTGAATGGGATGCACTTTCTATTCATGCCATCAAAATCAGCATTCGGCTTCCAGTAGCATTGAGATTTGCAGTGGCAGTTCTGCATTTCTCATAACCGGAGAGGACTTAGTTCTCAGCCTCAATTATGGGCTCCTGTGGTGTAATCATGAGATTTTCATAAAAATTGGAAAATAAAGCTCCTCTCCCCTCAATGCTGGCTGGGCCATTCTCCGTGCACGCTGCTGAAGTTTTAAAATAAGCTGCCATGATAAAAGAATATAAGATGGAGGGCACACAGGGGCACTGCTAGATACTCACTCACTTCACCTGCTTCAAAGGATGGATGGCAGGGTGGAACTTTCTGCCCCACCCCCACTCCTGGCAAAACATGTCATTGCCTGCTTTATTCTCTCAGGGCCCAGGGAGAGTTGTAAGGGAAGGGCTACCCTCCCGAGTTCAACATCACCTTTCCAGATCTCCTCTTTGAAAATGCAGATTCACACCACTTGAGATGCCAGCATCCTATATTGGGTTTTCTGATTTAAATCCAGCGCCTCCACTTCTGATCCAGCTGTGCAGCCCGGGAGGCAGCAGGTGATGACTCAAGTATTTGAGTCCCTGTCACTCATGTGGGAGACCTGGATTGAGTTTCTGGCTCTGGGCTTCATCCTGGCCCAGCCTGGGACACTGTAGGCATTTGGAGAGTGAACAAGCAGATGGAAGATATCTATCTACCTATCTCTATTTCTATCACTCATTCTCTTCCTTTCTCCCTGTTTTCAAGTGAAATTGAAAGCTTTCTATTCATTCCAAATACAAAAATTTGAATAGATCTCCAACTTTGTGTACAAGAGGAAGAAATAACGTACTTAGAGCATTGCTGTCATGTCCCCTGCTAGGACAGGTGCCTGGAGGAAAAGTACCTGTGCAATCATTTGCCAGCTGAACTGGATGTTCTTTTCTAGGGCATCACTTTGATTTCAAAGATGGACTGACAGAAAGGTGAGGGTTACTCAAACTTTAGTGGGCAGCAGATTTTTTTTTCCTAATGAATGAAGAGCCCATTCCTTCCAGGAAAATAAGAACAGTGTTCCCTGCCTAAGATAAAATTCCAGCTTTCAAGCAAGAATCAAAAAGTTCATATTCACTATCGTGAACCTGACAACGTTAAAGATTTTCTGATAATAATAAATCTGTGGTGATTTGAATGAATATGATTTTTTTAATGCTGTATATTTCTTGTAATTATTTTTATGATTCTCAGACTCCTGCTCCCAGACTTCCCACCTGTCTGCATGGGAATGCAAGTGCTTAAAAGCAATAAACTAAGCCGGCGCCGTGGCTCAATAGGCTAATCCTCCACCTTGCGGCGCCGGCACACCGGGTTCTAGTCCCGGTTGGGGCGCCGGATTCTGTCCCGGTTGCCCCTCTTCCAGGCCAGCTCTCTGCTATGGCCAGGGAGTGCAGTGGAGGATGGCCCAGGTGCTTGGGCCCTGCACCCCATGGGAGACCAGGAAAAGCACCTGGATCCTGGCTCCTGCCAGCGGATCAGCGCGGTGCGCCAGCTGCAGCGGCGGCCATTGGAGGGTGAACCAACGGCAAAGGAAGACCTTTCTCTCTGTCTCTCTCTCACTGTCCACTCTGCCTGTCAAAAATTAAAAAAAAAAAAAAAAGCAATAAACTTTGGGACCCATGCTGTGGTGCAGCGGGTTAATGCCTTGGCCTGAAGCACCGGCATCCCATATGGGCGCCAGTTCTAGTCCCGGCTGCTCCTCTTCCAATCCGGCTCTCTGGTATGGCCTGGGAAAGCAGTAGAAGATGGCCCAAGTCCTTGGGTCCCTGCACCCATGTGGGAGACCCACGTGGAGGAAACTCCTGGCTCCTGGCTTCAGATTGGCACAGCTCCGGCTGTTGCGGCCAATTGGGGAGTGAACCAGTGGATGGAAGACCTCTCTCTCTCTCTGCCTCTCCTCTCTCTGTGTGTAACTCTGACTTTCAAATAAATAAATAAATAAATCTTTTTTTAAAAAAGCAATAAACTTCAAATCTTACACTTTGGAAGACATTAGCTAAGCACAGGTATCTAACATCTACGGGAGGTAAAATTACCTGACATGATGCCATGTCTTAACCACTGTGCCAAATGCCTGCCCCAAGACAAGTATTCTGAAATCTCATTTGAGTGTTGAAAAGTTTCCAGTGGACTCACTTCATCTCGGATCCATGCCCAAGGTACTGGACAGCACTCAGTGGGCGCTGACACCAGTTCCTGGAGTTCCCTCTCACACCTGCTCAGCAGCCAGGCCATGGGATGGTTCCTGACACCAGGGCCATACCAGACAGGCTCCCTTTCTGGGATTTCCCATCCTCCAACTGCTCATCTTGTCCTGCGCCCCTGGTCAGCCGTTGCCTCTGGGTATCCTTCTGAAATTAACCCATTTGCTACCTGGTCTCTGCTCTTGCCACTTGGGTGTGGCTCCCCATTTAACCAGCTTCCTGTCCTGCTTCCGTTATGTCCCAGAGTGCCCCTCGCTCCCAAGAGCAGAACCAGGAGGTCATCCTGGGGCAGCCCAGGCACATCCTCGCCTCCACTTCCCTCACGCCTGTTCGGCAGCTCCGATGAATCCCAGTTCCTTCCTCCCTCCCTCCCTCCCTCTTTTCTTTCTTTCTTTCTTTCTTTCTTTCTTTCTTTCTTTCTTTCTTTCTTTCTTTCTTTCTTTCTTTCTTTCTTTCTTTCTTTCTTTCCCTCTTTCTTTCTTTCCTTCTTTCTCTCTTTCTTTCTCTTTCCCTCTTTCTTTCTCTCTTTCCCTCTTTCTTTCCCTCTTTCTTTCTTTCCCTCTTTCTTTCCCTCTTTCTTCCTTCCTTCCTTCCTTCCTTCCTTCCTTTCCAGTATCCTAGTCTTTCACGTTCTCCTTTAATAAACTAGTGTTCTCTACTGCTTGTCCTCTCCACCCGTCTCCCCTGCTCCAATCTTCAGACCTCTCTTCCTCTTAACTTACTTCTGGGTCTGTCTTTCCTTAAAGGCACTCCTATATTTCACTCCGCCTTCTTTTCTCCCTGGCTCCTTTTTCTTCCAGAATCAAAGTTTTCAACTTAAGACTTGGCAGGCCATAGAAAATTGCCAAATACGTGGTTTTGAATCGCATAGGCCCTATATTTGAACTCCTTCTCTGGAAAACCCATCCAGAAATCATTAGACATTAGCAGTGGCTTCAATTTAGGAAAAGTTCACTACCATGTGTTATGAAACGGCCTCGCACCCATGTCTGGGATATTCTCGGGGCCCATGCCTATCTCTGTTCCAATTCTTCATGAAAATTTCGCTGAGTCTTCCTGTTGGCATCTTCCATAGGGAGTGGCGTGGAGAGCCTGGCCCCGGAGCGATGACGTCACACAAGTCACATGTACTGGCCAGGGCAGTGGCACCTCCCCAGTGACACAGACTGATTTCCCTTGCCCATTTCACTCTTTGTGACGGTGGGCGTCTCCTACCTCTATTGTTCCATAGCTTACAGAACTTTCTAAGTGGAAAGCCCACGCTTCATTGAGAAAAAAGAGGAGCACGCTAACGTGATAATATTTCAAGGTACTTAACTTGGCTTTGCAAATGCTTTGAGAACAAAGATTCAGGGTGATTTCTCCGAGTGTGAACGCTATAGTTGCCCTGCAGTAAGGCTCATCTAAGGTACTAAGACTATGGACTAGATGTACAGGGGATGAATCCATGGCTTTTGCATCAAATTTAGTCACTCACAAGAAAGGACCTGATGAAGAAATTAAAAAAGCAGTGAGGTAGCATTTAAGACAGCACCTGGGGCACCTGCATGTCTCATCAGAGTGCCTGGGTTCAAGTCCCAGCTCCACTCCCAATTCCAGCTTCCTGCCATCGCACACTCTGGGAGGCAGCGCGTGATGACTCAAGTGCTTGGGTCGCTGCCACCCATGTGGGACACTGGATGGAGTTCCTGAATTGAGTTTCTGCCTCCTGGCTTTGGCCTGGTCCAGCCCTTGGCCATTGCAAGCATTTGGGGAGTGAAACAATGATGGAAGATCTTTCTCTCTCTCTTTCTCTCTCTCTCTCCAAATAAATACAATTTTATAAAAGAATGAGTAGCAAGTGGCACTTCCACTGAAGTGGCATTAGCTCTTCAGATAGAAGGGTGTTTCACACAGATAAACATTTGCCCCTAAAAAATAATTCTGTTTCAACTTCTAGATCCAATCCAATGCGGGAAGAACTCAAAGCAACACAGGTGAAAATGAAGACCAAAATTCTTCACATCTGGTAAAGTTTCAGTACTGACTGCTCAGAACAGATCCAGCCAATGAGAATACACACCACAATGGCGTCTTCCAGCCCTGGTTCTTTTTTTTTTTTTTAATATTTTATTTTATTTAATGAACATAAATTTCCAAAGTACAGCTTATGGATTACAATAGCTTCCCCCCCACCCATAACTTCCCTCCCACCCACAACACTCCACTCTCCCACTCCCTCTCCCCTTCCATTCACATCAAGATTAATTTTCAATTATCTTTATATACAGAAGATCCATTTAGCATATATTAAGTAAAGATTTCAACAGTTTGCACCCACACAGAAACACAAAGTGTAAAATACTATTTGAGTACTAGTTATAGCATTAATTAAACTCCTAGGAGTAATTGTGTATTAATTAGAGAGTTCAACCAATAGTTTTAAGTAGAACATAAAAAATACTAAAAGGGTAAAGTATTAAGTTCTTTTTTTGTTTGTTATATAGTTTTTTTTATTTAATAAATGTGAATTTACAAAGTGCAACTTTTGTATTGTTGTGGCTTCCCCCCCCCAACCTCCCTCCCTCCCGTGGCCCTCCCCTCTCCCACTCCCTCTCCCATCCCGCCCATCATCACGTTTCATTTTTCAATTACCTTCATATACTGAAGATCAACTTAGTATATACTAAGCAGGGATTTCAACAGGCTGCACTCACACAACCAAACCAGGTATAGGGTATTGTTCGACTAGTAGTGTTGTTTTTAAGTTTCATAGTTAAACACATTAAGGACAGAGATCCTACGTGGGGAGCCTGTACCCAGTGACTCCCGTTGTTGATTTAACAATTGGCACTCTTATTTATGGCGTCAGCAATCACCTGAGGTTCTTGCCATGAGCTGTCTAGGCTATGGAAGCCCCTTGAGTTCACCGACTCTGAACTTGTTTAGTCAAGGCCATATCACAGTGGAGGTTCCTTCCTCCCTTCAGAGAAAGGCGCCTCCCTCCTTGATGGCCTGTTCCTTCTGCTGGGGTCTTGTTCACCAGGATCTTTCATTTAGATTGTTTTTTGCCACCGTGTCATGGCTTTCCATGCCTGTGAGACTCTCATGGACCTTTTAGCCAGATCTGAATGTCCCAAGGGTTGATTCTGAGGCAGGAGTGCTGCCATTCTGAGTCTGCAGCCCTGGTTCTAGAAACTTATGGAACCATGAATCCAAGAGATTAAGAGTATCATCAATATTTTGTATTACATACATTTTGGTGTGACTTTGCTCATATGAAAGAAAAAGACGGTTTGGGTAAATTGAAAATGAGAAAGCCTCATTTCTGAATGTAAAATCAAGTCCTCAATTGAATTAACCTAGCAGAAACTGCCTACCGAGTAGAAGGTGTCCAAGGCATTATCTGAATTGCATAGGTATAGCACGAAGCTAAAACAGTGCTGTTACCATTTTGTATTTTTTTTAAAGATTTATTTATTTATTTGAGAAACAGAGTTACAGAGAGAGACAGAGACAGACACAGAGACACAGAGACAGAGAGAGGTCTTCCAACCACTGGTTCACTCCCCAAATGGCTGCAAAGCTGGAGCTGGGCTGATCTGAAGCCAGGAGCCAGGAGCTTCTTCCAGGTCTCCCACTAGGGTGCAGGGGCCCAAGGACTTGGCCCAACTTCCACTGCTTTTCCAGGCCATAGCAGAGAGCTGGATCAGAAGAGGAGCAGCCGCAGGCGGAGGCTTAACCTCTTTTGCCACAATGCTGACACCACCACTGTCTTTTACGAGAACAAATGTTTAGCAAGAATTTGTTGAAAATTTATAACCACCCTGAAGACTTGTCCACAATAATATCTGACTATGCACAACAATATCTGACTATGCAAAAAAAATTAAAAAGCCAGCTCAATTGAGCACTCACAGAAAATGAAAATAAGGAATAGGAAACTGATGACTCCGTGTAGTGAAGGGTGCCAGGAGACAGGGACGAAGTTTGGGAAGTAGACACAGAAATGGAAGAGGAAGCCAGAAAGGGAGCTGACAAGATGACAGCCTAAAAATATATCTAGTGAAATGCACAGCACCAGGATGGGATGGGAGCCAGTCGTTGGGAAACACGGGCCTGAGAAGGGCAGTGACATACGTGCTGTGGGGCAGCGCTCAGAAAACATACCAGCACCTTCCCACGCTGTTTAGGACACACAGCAAGCAGGGGGCTCTTCCAGGAGCCTGCTAGACCCCAGATGCATGCTCCAAATCCCCCTGCAGCACGCCCAGCCCTCAAGTTCAGTTCATCCCAGTTATCTACATTAGCACCACATGACCAGCAAAGCGACGAGAGACATCATTTTAAAATCATTGTAGCTACCAAGAAAGAAAGTTTTGCCCTATGGAGAGAGACGGGAGAGAAGGAAAAGAGAATGCATGATTTCTGTCTGGCCCACAGCCCTAGGCTGTGCTCACATCAGCAGGGGTTGTCTACTGGAGCTCTGGCCAACTCAAATTACAGCCACGGTAGGATGTGTGAAACAGGCTCCAAGACCCACCTGCTGATAATATTTCATTTTAACTCTAGCTTTACATATATATTTATATATTCAAATCACATTATTTAAATATTTTTAATGTTGATTTTTTCCTATTCTTACATCCCATAAATAATCGTATTCAAATGACTCGTGTGTACCTGTCACATCATTTTCTTCACCATCACTAGAGTCACTTTTAGACTCATCAGGCATGGTTTTCCAGACCGCGTCATTGTGAAATTTTATATGCATGATTCTGGCTGTGGCATCCTTCTTTGTTTGTTCATTTAAAATTATTTATTTATTTATTTGAGAGTCAAAGGGTGGGAAGGAGAGGGAGAGAGAAAGCAAGAACATAAAAGAGCTCCCACCCACTGGTTCACTCCTCAAATGCTTACAACAGCCAAGGACGGGCCAGGCTGAAGCCAGGAGCCAGGAACTCAATCCAGGTCTCCCACACAGGCGGCAGAGACCCAAGTACTTGAACCATCACCTGCTGTCTCCCAGGTCTCATTAGCAGGAGGCTAGAGTCAGGAGCAGAGCCAGGATTTGAACCCAGGCACTCCAACAGGACCAGAGTCTTCACCTCTGGGCCAAACCATTTCCTCTTCTTTTTTTCCTCATGTTTGACACACAATAATCATTCATATTTGTAGGGCAAAATGTGATGTTTCAATACAAGTATACATTGTACAATACTTGAATCAGAATAATTAGCATATCCATCTCCCCATACGTTTATCATCGGTTTGTGTTGGGAATATTCAAAATCTCCCTTTCTAGCTATTTTCAGTTATACAATACCTTAGCGTTAAGGGCAGTCATCTCACCGTGCAACAACACCCGAACTTTTTATTTCATTCCAATCGTGATTTTGCACCCATTGACTAACCTTTCCCTATTCCCTTTCCCTACACCCTCCCCAGCCTCTGGAATCCAATATTTTCATTACTCCCAAAAGATCAACTTCTTTAGATTCCACACACGAGTGAGATCATACTTATTACTGTCTGTCTAGTTCTGGCTTATTTCGCTTAACGTAATTCCTCTCTAATGTCACAAATGAAAGGGTTTCATTCTTTTTTTTTTTTTTTTTTTAATTTTTTGACAGGCAGAGTGGACAGTGAGAGAGAGACAGAGAGAAAGGTCTTCCTTTTGACGTTGGTTCACCCTCCAATGGCCGCCGCAGCCAGCGCGCTGCGGCTGGAGCACCGCGCTGATCCGATGGCAGGAGCCAGGAGCCAGGTGCTTTTCCTGGTCTCCCATGGGGTGCAGGGCCCAAGCACTTGGGCCATCCTCCACTGCACTCCCTGGCCACAGCAGAGAGCTGGCCTGGAAGAGGGGCAACCGGGACAGAATCCGGCTCCCCGACCGGGACTAGAACCCGGTGAGCTGGCGCCGCAAGGTGGAGGATTAGCCTAGTGAGCCGCGGCGCTGCCACAACATAGTAACTGTAAAAAGTCAGCCCACCCTCAGCAGGAATCTAGAATTGGCATCCTAATCGCAGTTTCTCCTTTTCAGCGCGCCAGCTGTGGCTGCCATTGGAGGGTGAACTAATGGCAAAGGAAGACTTTTCTCTCTGTCTCTCTCCCTCTCACTGTCCACTCTGCCTGTCCAAAAATAAATAAATAAATAATGGGAGTGCAGGTATCTCTTGAACACACTGATTTCATTATTTGGGATATACGCCCAGAGGAGGGATTACTGCATCACATTGTGATTCTACTTTTAATCTTTGGGGGACCTTCCAAACTGCTTTCCATCGTGACTGCGCTACTTTATAATCCGACCAATGGTGTAGAAGGTTGCTTCTTGTCCACATTCTTGTCAACATTTGTTATCTTTTGTCTTTCTGATAACAGCCATTTTAACTGGAGTGAGGCGATACCTCTTTGTGGTTTTGATCTGCATGTCCCTGGTGATCAGTATTATTCACCATTTTTTTCTCATTTATCCATTGGCCATCTGTATGTCTTTGTTTAAGAAATAGCTATTAGGGGGGCCGGCGCTGTGGCTTAGCAGATGAAGCTGCCGCCTGCAGTGCTGGCATCCCAGATGGTTGCCGGTTCAAGACCCAGCTGCTCCACTTCCCATCCAGCTCTCTGCTGTGGCCTGGGAAAGCAGTAGAAGATGGCCCAAGTCCTTGGGCTCCTGTACCCATGTGGGAGACCTGGAAGAGGCTCCTCTCTCCTAGCTTCGGATCAGTGCAGCTCCAGCCGATGCGGCCATCTGAGGAGTGAACTAGTGGATGGAAGACCTCTCTCTCTCTCTCTCACTCTCTCTCTCTCTCTCCCTGTCTCTCCTCTTTCTGTGTAACTGTGACTTCCAAATAAATAAATGAATCTTTAAAAAAAAAAAAAGAAATAGCTATAGGAGCTGGTTCTGTGGCGTAGTGAGTAAAAGCTGTCTCCTGCAGTGCTGGCATCCCATATGGGCGCCTGTTCGAGTCCCAGCTACTCCATTTCTGATCCATCTCTCTGCTATGGCCTGGGAAAGCAGTGGAAGATGGCCCAAGTCCTTGGGCTCCTGCACCCGCATGGGAGACACAGAAGAAGTTCCTGCCTCCTGGCTTCAGATCAGCCCAGCTCTGGCCATTGCGGCCAATTGGGGAGTGAACCAGTGGGTGGAAGACCTCTCTCTCTCTCTCTCTACCTCTCCTCTCTCTATGTAACTCTTTCAAATGAATAAATCTTTTTTTAAAAAAAGAAATAGCTAATAATCCAGCATGAATTAATTTTTGTCTATGGTAAAACATAAGATCAAATTCATCCTTCTACCTATGGATATTCAATTTTCTCAGCACCATTTATTGAAGAGACTGACCCCAATGTGTGATCTTGGCATCGTTGTCAAACTCAGTTGGCTGTAGGTGTGTGAATTTATTTCTAGGCTCTCTGCTTTGATCCACAGATCTACCAGTTGGTTCTAAAAGAATTCAGCAAAGTTATAGGATACAAAATGAACATACAAAAACCAGCGACAACTCTATATACTATGTTGATTGCTATAGCTTTGTAGCACATTTTGAAATCAGGTAATTGATGCCTCCAGATTTTTTTTTCTCCCAAAATTGCCTTGGCTATTTAGGATCTTTTGTGGTTCTATACTTATTTTAGGATTTCTTTTTTCTATTTTTTAAAATTTATTTGACAGGTAGAGTTATAGACAGTGAGAGACACAGAGAGAGGTCTTCCTTTCATTGGTTCACCCCCCCAAACAGCCGGCGCTGTGCCGATCCAAAGCCAGGAACCAGGTGCTTCCTCCTGGTCTCCCATGTGGGTGCAGGGCCCAAGCACTTGGGCCATCCTCCACTGCACTCCCGGGCCATAGCAGAGAGCTGGACTGGAAGAGGAGCAATTGGGACTAGAATGGGCACCTATATGAATGCCAGTGCCGCAGGTGGAGGATTAACCAAGTGAGCCATGGCGCCAGCCCCTCCTTTTTTCTATTTCTATGAAGAATGTCATTGGCATTTTGATAGAAATTTAACTGGAGCTGTAGATCACTTTGGGTACTATGAATATTTTAACATTAGTTCTCCAATTTTATAAGCATAAGATACCTTCCATTTATTTGTATCCTCTTGAATTTATTCAGAATATTCTTTATATATATATATATATGTATATATATATCATTGCATTTTGAGAGATTTTCTCTAGAATATTTCGTTGTTTGCGTACAGTTACATAAAACAGAATTGGTTCTGTATAATTTAAAGGCAAGTGTATTTATTTAAGTGTATTTATGTAATTTAAAGGTAAATGTGTTACTAAGGAGTGGGTGCTGTGGTGCAGCAGACTAAGCTGCCACTTGGGATGCCTCCCTCCAAAGTGTGATGCCTGCTTGGGTCCCAGCTACTCTGGGCATGTGCGCCATCTTCCGACTGATGTCTGCCCTGGGATGCAGCTGATAAAGGCCCAAGTTTTGGGTGCCTACCACCCACACAGGAGACCTGAATGGTGATCCTAGCTCCAGTGTAGCCAAATCCTGGCTGCTGTGGGCATTTGGAGAATCAAACAGTAGATAAAAGAATCTCTCTCTCTCTACCTCTACCTCTACCTCTCTCTCTCTCTCTCTCTCTCTGCCTTTCAACTAAATCAACGAATCTCTTATAAATTTTTGTTTCATCAATGTTTTATAGTTTTCATTGTAACAATCTTTTACTTCCTAGGTTACATTTACTTCTAGATAGTTTATTTAAATGAATTTATTCCTAGTATTTTATCTCTTGTATCTTTTGTAAACAG